GGTGCCTTGGCTGCTTCATACTTTGTATTCGGTTGTGAAGTCACTGCTTTGAACTTGCTGCGAGTGATGATTAGTAAAGATGTGGATTTTTCAACTAATTATGTTGTGGCTGTTCTCATCCTTCACACCTTGAAAGACGACAGACCTTCACCCCAGTTGGCAACCCGTAAGGGGTTGAAAACTAATCAGGGATGGTCATCGACTTTCTAAGCACCAAGCAGCTGAGAGGGGGACCAACAAAAACACACGAACAACACAACGTCAGAACAAAAAACAAAAACACAAACTAGAGCCCTCCTAGAAAACCAAAAGCCACTCACCATTCACCACCGAGAGCACCCACCCAAACAGACACCAGACCGAGCCAAAGCACCAAGATCTGAAACTGCATAAAAGGCCTAAGAAGATCCGATACTCCCTCCCCGAAAACTCTCTCACGTAGACACCCACGAACGAGTCAAATGGAGGGTAGACCTAGACTCACAAAACCCCCTCCGATAGGTAACCAGAAGACAATAGATGACCAGATCCCTTAACCTTCACCGCTGTCGCAGCCCCTCTCCCAAGCACAGAGAAAACCACAGAGAAAATAGAAAAAACCAGGGGGGAGCAGGGAATCATGGAACCCCCAAACTCTAGCCCCATTGACGACCACCGGTGACAATAGCCGAGCAGCCATCGGCGACGGCCCTCCACTTACCTGCAGAGAAATACCTACCAACCTGGAGTGAAAGGGAACTCACCTCTACTCCGACCTCCGCCCGACAGAAGCCAAAGCACGCCGCCCAACCCCGCTGCAGAGATGTTGGAGGACATCGCAGTCGAAGGCCAGCTAGAACATCGGAACCCAACAAAGCACCAAACAACCCCGAAATCCCCCCTCGATTAAAGGCCGGGGGCCCAGACCTGCGGTAGAAGCAGCACGGACGCTCCTGGAGCGCCTTGCTGGGAGGGGGCAGTCGTCGGAAGAGGAAGATTGACGCCTAAATACAGGATTTAGGTTTCGGGAAATTGGGGGTAATAATAATAATAATAATAATCTATATATATAATTGCTGACAAGCTTCAATAAATTTTATTCAGTCAACAATTAATAATAATATGAGTTAATTTAATAAATATAGGTGTTCATTTAATAAAAATATGTCCACCATTTAATAAAAATATGTAACGTTCGGTTACACAATTTATTTTGATAGGTCCTATTTTGGATGGTGCTCATTTCTAAAACGTTTTTTTATATCCTAAAATACAAAATGTTTTTGTTTTTATTTTGATACTATATATTTTTTTTGGTATTATAAAAATACATATTTCACAACTAATTAAGAATGACTACAGATAACTTTATTTTCTATTGCAGTCATACAATAATAAAAAAAAATATTTTTTTTGGATAGTACAAAGATATTTAAAAAATCAAATCCCAGGGTCACGAGTTGAAGGGGTTTAACGATAATGACTTGTTGTGAGAAGAATTATGACGATAGAAAAACCAAGACATGTTGTATATAAAGAGATGTTTAATAATATTTAGATTCATTTTTTTAAATTATTTATTTTCTCATTTATTAAGTTATGAATTTTATTTTAATCTATATTTTTAATTATTTTCTCTTCTATTATATCGTTTTCGTGTAAATGGACGGAGTAAAACTTGTAATAATAATAATGAGAGTTTTAATTCCATGTGGTTGGAGATCTAAATCTAAATATGTGCACTCAAACATAATTATGGACCGAGCAAAAGGAAAAAGCAAAAGATTGACAAAAATGATGAGCCCCAGCATCCAGCGTCATTGTATGGGCGGGCCCCTATCGATTTAATGACGCTCCCTATCTCTTTCCAAATTATTATTCTTCCGTTGCAATAGCGCATCATGCTTTCCATTTCTACTCCTTTTTATTCTTTTAATGCTCTTTTTAAAGTCATTTTCAAATGCATATTCAGTTATTTTAATGCGACGGTTTTGATGTTATCCATACTCATTTTCTCTCCTTTTAATCCACGTTCACATTTTTCTTCTGCTTTCCTTCTTCATTGTTCTCGCTGAACAACATCTTCCTCATCTTTGTTTTTTTCTGTTCTTTTTATCTTCTTAATTTTCTTAATCACGCGATATATAAACACTCATGAAAAGCCCAAAAATTTTTTATTGTTCTTCCCAACAATAAGTTAGGGTTGTGGTAAATTTATTATTCCATCTTCTCACGAATTTGAGGTTGAAATTCAAAAAATCTACACCCAAATCGTCATCCCCAAACCATCATCGAGCCTTCAAAGGCCACCGCCCGACATCACCGAGCCTTATTAACCTAACAAATTCGCAGATCCTTTTCTATCATATCTATATTTTCCAACCCCAAATCAACATCCCAAAAATTTCGGCGGAATTTTTCTTCTGCAAAAACCTTCAAGGGATCTGGTCAACTCCGTCTTCGAATGAATTATCATAGCGCGACCCTCTACAACATCAACATCGCCGCCACCTCCCTCGGCCGCCGGGCCTCCTCCGACTGCCTACCTCCTGAAGAGAGTGAGCGATTTGTTGCCTGAGGTAGAGCACAATACCACATGGCAACGGCATCTCCGTCCCTGAAGAAACCACATGGCGGCATAATTGGATTTTGACTGTCTCATGGAACAGTCTCCCTTTCTGGTCTTACTCTTGTTTCTGGGAGTATCGACGCTATAGGTGTGTATATCTATGCAATATCACCAAGATTGTAGGAATTTGAAACTTACACTGTTCATGTAATTTGTGTAGTTGTTCTGTGCTTTCTTTTACATGTGGAGGTAATGGCGGGGTGTTGCTAAAATGTTGATTAGTCATTAATCGGTGTTATTTTTTATATGTATGTGGATTATTCATTAATTACATTGGGAAAAATGCTTTCATGTTATTTTTGTAGATGCCTGTGTGAAAAGAGGTTTATTTTTACTTGACTGAATTTTTCATTGAACTTCTGTTTATTTCTTGTTGTTTTTATGTTTTTTTATAGGTGTTATGTTGTTTTTTGTGTTTGTTTCTTGTTGTTTTTATGTTTTTTGATAGGTATTATGTTGTTTTTTTGGTGTTGTTGCACAAAAACTTGTTATTTGTTTATTTGTTATTTTTTTCTCTTGTTCACATACATGTTAAGATGTGTTTTTTTTTTTTTTTTTTTTTGCCAAATCACCGCCTACTTTTGAAATAAATTTGTATGTACATTATTTTGATCAATTATTTCTTGTAATTCTTTAGGCATTTATATTTTTGAAGAAGAAGAAGAAGAAAAGGGAAGAAGAAAGAGAAAACATGAAAGAATGAGAAACGTGAAAAGAGGAGGAGAGAGAAAGAAGAGAGAAAAAGCTGGAAAAATGGATGAGAGATAGCAGTTTGTTAATAATTTAATTTTTGAATTAATTGTTTTTTATTTTCTCATTGTAGTAATTATTAACTGTATGTTTTGGAATTGAGTAATTTTGGAATTCTCTCTAAGCAGTTTTAGTTATGGAAATAGTATTTTATAGTAGAATAGTTATGTCTTTTCGCCGCCCCTATCTCATCTCTTTGGGTGTACTGTGGTCCACAAAGTTTTTCTTTGGGTGTGCTGTGTTTCTCGACATACATAGTTTTAGACATGTCAAAAGCCACCCATCATATACCGACCGAGCAGACGCGGCAGATGATTATTGCCACCAAATAATCATAATAATTGCTAGTAAGTCACTAAATAAAATCTAATAAATACAATCTAATAAATTTTATTTACGTGACAAATCATTAAATAAAACATAATAAATCAAACTTAATAAATTTTACCTATGTTGCATTAATCCACCCTCACCCATTAATGATAAAATATTTCATTGTACTTTTTTTTTGTTTGAGTTAATTAAGACAAAAACTGTTACATCTTATATTAGTTGAGTAAGAATAATATTTTTTTTATTGAATTATATAATAACTATTATTAAAATTAATAATTATTTTTTACACTAAATGATATATGAAAGTTACATAAACATAAAAAATTATATTGTAAAAAGTTTTTGCTCAAGTTATTTATTCCAAAATCAATAATACATTTTTTTAGCTCTGATACTTGACCTTATTAGAGAACTTGCGTATAAAGAAACCTCACCTCCTGGAGGTCGTAAATGCGGGAATCATCGTTACAACTCGAGCCGATAGCGCGTGTCAAACGTATTAAGGTGGCAGAACATCGAGCAGGTTGCTCGGGGGCCACAACGTCAATGAAAGTGCAAAGTTGGCCCGAGAGCCATAGTTGCACGCAAAAGGCAGCGGAACTCCGACGTGGTAAACCGTGGGGCCTGGATGAGCCCAGGATCTTGACGTCGTAGTCCTACGAGAGAAATGATTGTTCTACTCTTAGACGAGTCTTGTGTTAGCAAACTCGTCTGATGTAGCACCAGAAATAACTCGGTGGACCGGCCTGACCGGTTAGCTCGGTAAGGCCGGTCTAAGGGAGCTTGGAGCCTAATTTATGTGATAAACAGTATTAGTTAAAGATATTCATGAAAGTTGGTGTATATCTACACAGTTATTGAGGAACATCAGAATTCTGATTTATTGAGGAAGCTCATTATCTTGGGGAATAAGTCATTAAACCCCTTATAAATAAGGGACCAGTTTCATTTTCTAATTATAAGCTCTTAAGATTACTTAAGATACACGATCAAAATATCCGTTTTCTGACTTGAGCGTCGGAGTGGCTACGCCGGGGCCTTGCCCCGGTGCTTTGCAGGTCGATCCGGTTCTTGAAGACGAAGGCGATCGAGACGTTCGAACTCTCCCGCCAATCGAGATGAGGCGATTCGCCCAACAACCTCGGTGAGTCGATTATTTTGGCACATCAGTATTATAAAAATACATATTTCACAACTAATTAAGAATGACTACAGATAACTCTATTTTCTATTGCAGTCATACAATAATAATAAAATATTTTTTTTGGATATTACAAAGATATTTAATAAATCAAA